ACCTCCTGAAATAGCATATTAAGTTGGTCATTAACAAAAACACTAAGAACTTATTCGCACCATTGCCCGCGCTCGGACAATACCATTCCCACCAAAACAAATCCCGGGGGCCGTACGTTTCAATTGGGCAGGACCCTACGGCAAATTGCCGCTGTTTACCGAATGCCCCACAAAGAGTGTAATATAGGAGATAATTTGGGCCTTTAGAGACACACGGCTTAGCGTTGTGTACATCACATTTTAGTTAATTCCTTCCGTGTTTAGCTACACACGTTCTTAATTGACAGCTTCTAATTGTGGATATTCTTTCCTTCAGTGAATGATCTACCATCCCACAATAAAAGATTTTTTCAACAGTGGACGGTTTATGGTTGAAACGAATGGACTACATGAGATTAGTGATGGCATACTAGATTATTAGGAGACCTGCTCAGATTGGAAACTAAAGTATCAATTGAATCCATTTCTTTGAGTAAAACTACCCCCAATGTGTCTCATTTTACTTGTAGTAGAATCTAATCAGAAATCAATCTAATTAGCTCAAAACTACTTCTATTACATTATTATAATGTTGAATTCCACCACCTTTACATTGCCACCAATGTTACGTTTAAAATACAGGGCGGAATTTCGTAATGCCGCCAGGAGGGAAAGTACTCTTAATACTGTAGATAGAAAATTTTACTGAAAGAAAACATTCCTTTATTTTTTGAAAAGAAAAAGAACTGCTATCAAAGATTTTTGAAAAATTTTCGAAACTTCACTACCATACCATACAATTTTCTGTAACATAATTGAAATTATTTAAGATTTCATGGTTTTCCTTTCATTTGATTTATCAAGTTTGTTAGAGAGATTTCATCCTTATATCCCTAACAATCGATGAAATAAAAATACAGGCTGTAATTTTTAATTGGTTCGATTCCCGGGTGTGGCAAGCAAATTTTTGGAAATCTTTGAATGCAGTTCTATTTCTTTTCAAAAATAAAGGAATGTTTTCTTTTACAAAAAAAAAACTATTTACAATAATATTACGAGTACTTTCCCTTCAGGTGGCATTACAAAATTCCACTCTGTATACAAATACGTTTACCCCGTCACACACAAAACAAAGGCTTACTCATATTATACATGTTTTAACATCGCAGTAACCACTCGAAAATTCGTGTACTGCCTCGGTTTTATAATTAAGCTATCATATCAAACTCGCGTGGATTTAAATTTCAATTAACTGTATTTTGCTTGCATTAATATTAAACAGTTGATGGTTTCATCCAAACTGTTCAATAAACTGAAATAAAATTTTGTATAATGCGTGTCTATTGCAACTGATTGGTACTTTGGGCTGATTATTATGATTAAATTAATATGTATTGAATGCCTGCCAGCAATGTTATTACCACGAGACGTCGAAATTGATAAAGGATAGTGCCAGGGTCTGGACCAAGTGCTGCCCAGAATCAACCCATAGTGCATTTTGTTCCTCAGGCCAATACTAATGTGTAAACCGAAGCGCACTGCAATCTATCCCTGGAGTTAAGAGAAAAAAAGAGTTTTGTTTTGAAATATTTACATACAAAATATCATCGATATATACGTACTACGCATAAGATTTCGTGATTTTGGCATTAAATAACACTCGTTATGTTGAACTTAACCATACTGCATCCGTACACCTTACTTTAGTGCGACTTAGACATTATTTATAAGCGATCTAGCGCTGTTGCAATAGTTTGGTTAGTTGACAGAAATCATTATTTCCAAAATGAAGCAAGAAGTTTTAGTTCTCTATCCTTCCGAAAAATCAATTTATTGGTGTATTACAATCGATTATTGAAGTTATTTTAAGCTAAAACTTCTTGCTCCATTTTGGAAATAATTAATTTCGGTCAAGTAATCAAACTACTGCAACAACGCTTGATCGCTTATAAATAATGTCGAAGCCGTACTAAAGTAAGGTGTACGGATGCAGTATGGTTAAGTTCAAAATAGCGAGTGTTATTTAATGCCAAAATCGCGAAATCTTATGCGTAGTAGGTATACATCGATGATATTTTGTATGTAAATAATTCCAAACAAAACTCTTTTTTTCTCTTAACTCCAGGGACAGATTTCAGTGCGCTCCGGTTTACAAATTAGTATTGGCCTGAGGAACAAAACTCACTATAGTTTCATTCTGGGCAGCACTTGGTCCAACTTCCATACATGGATTGGCACTGTCCTTTGTGGGCGTAAAACATTTATTTAAAATATTATCTCTCGTTTAGAATACTACAAAAGTTGATTTTCCTAGGAAATTTATAAATTTGCGGATCTCGTTCGTTCGTTCGTTCGTTTCAGCCGAAAGACGTCCACTGCTGGACAAAGGCCTCCCCCAAGGATTTCCACAAAGACCGGTCCTGCGCCGCTTGCATCCAGGTACTTCCCGCGACCTTCACCAGATCGTCGGTCCACCTAGTGGGAGGCCTGCCCACGCTACGTCTTCCAGCTCGTGGTCGCCACTCAAGAACTTTCCTGCCCCAGCGGCCATCAGCTCTTCGAGCTATGTGCCCCGCCCACTGCCACTTGATTTTTGCGATTCTGCGGGCTATGTCAGTCACTCTGGTTCTCCTACGGATCTCCTCATTTCTGATTCGATCACGCAGGGAATCTACTTAGTTATTTTCCGGTGACATATCTACTTGTTGCCAAAATAGAATCGTTTCGTATTTTAAAATGTGTCAATTGTAGTGAGTGTCAGTGCCAAGCACATAACACTTTGCTTATTTCGTATTCTCACAACAAAACACATGACCGTATCAACAAGATTTGGTGACAACTCTGGTAGCGTTCCAGCAGAAAAACCATAACATTCCGTTTCGATCATTATGCCGAAGCAAATCGAGTTTTTCGCGAGATAAAGACAAACTTCGGGTCTGGCAGTCGACCAAGAGTGGGCCGACATTTTTAAGTCACACGCTGACAGCGGTTATGGACGGTTAAAGTTTGGTTGTATGACGTCATCGTAGAAACAATCGCTGTATAACTTTATAATGACTTGCCTGTATTACTGAATTTCAGCAGGTTAAGATTTAAGTGGGTAGATACTTTTTTAGTTGTAAGTATGCGCGAAAGATTTGTATTTGCATATTAAAATTCGTATAATATGTTAAAACGCAATATAGGATATTTATGGATGGGTATTTGACTTTGTTGTAATTTAAATTGAATGAAATTACCGGTTATTCTATAAAATATTTTCTTTAGGCTTCAAAATATTATTAGCTAGCCCGGACCAGTCTAATTCATTTCAATGAGTCGTTGTATAAATGTTTTATCATTGTAACCTAGAATTATTCACACACTTTTCATAAAACTAGTAAAAAAACCAAAGTGTGTAGAGTTTCGAACACATTCCTCACATGATACTAAATTAAGTAGTATTTCCCACCCAACAATGTAAAGAGGATCTTGCCCATTTTCAGTTATTAGATTTACGTTTAAAATGGTGGAGTTGTGTTGTTCTGGCGCCAAACCAACGATGACGTAAGCGATAAGATTCTAGCGACTACTGTGTCGGGGGCAAATCAACTTAACTGTTCGCTGGCTTGAAAAAAGAAGCTAGATTCCATTTGACCAGTTTACTACTGCTGAAAAGCTGGTTTGTGGACAAATAATTCAGGTTTAGATAAATTAATTTCAGAATGTAGATTACCTAACTCTGATTTATGAAAATATTGCAAGCTCATATCATATCGATTACTTTGTGTGCTGCGTTTATAATATGAATTTAATATTAAACTAAAATTTTGTGTTGTGCTATTAGTTCAATCTATGAATAAATACATCTACACTAATATTATAAAGAGAAAAACTTTGTTTGGTTGTAATGAATAGGCTCAAAAACAACTGGACCGTTTTTAAAAATTCTTTCACCATTCGAAAGCTACATTATCCACGAGTAACATATAGGCTAAATTTTATTTAGGAAAAAAACAGGGTTCCCCAAAATATGTAGATAATGTAGTCCACGCGCGCGAAGCCGCGGGCGGAAAGCTAGTTAATAATATAATTTTCATTCGGGTTAAACGTCCGTACCATAACACTAGTCGTATTTTCAGATATTTTTGTCTCTGTCGTTTTAATCAATACCTATCTCGTTTTATATGAGAGGTCTCTTAGGATTACCAATTTTCTTATTTACTTCTGATGTCACTTTGCTACTTCGGTCAAAGTCAAACTAAAAGTCTGAAAGTGTCACATAAACACATCAAGAACGGTTGCAACTTGATTCATTACCGTTTCAAAGTTATTGGTTTTAGCAACTAAGACTTATTCTACTAAAATAGAAAGAACACTGTAAAAGTTAGTGAAGTAATAAACTTAATTGCGAGTACCATTAAATTTGGTTCACCGCCAAAGCTGGTCTAATAAACATAATCAAATGTAACTAAATGCATTTGTGTTACTTACTGACTGCAGGCTGAATATTAAGGCTGGTTTTAGTGTCACGCGGACTGTCAGTGCGGATCGCTCCGCACAGCCGATCAGTATGAACTGCTAGGGAGCGGAGCGGTTCCTCCGGACCGCATTACTCTAAAACGCTCCCTAGAAGTTCATACAGATTGGCGTGCGGAGCGGGTCCGCACCGGACGGTCCGCGTGACACTAAAACCAGCCTAACTATAACGCTTCAGCCAAACCAACGCGTGCAGCTCGCGTCGGCGATCACTGCACGTGCGTCGTGCATAGATCGCCGCGACCAATGACAGGACGCGATGATGTGAACTCATCGCTACAAAGGGTTATGCCCACTTAGTATGGGGCCTTTGGCCTGAGGTGGACAGACATTACAGCATGTAATTTGTTATTTATTAAATAGTCTATACCAGTAAGAAACAGAATATAAATATCATTTTGTATCCAAGTCCTTAAAAAAAATTTTTTTTGATTAAGACTAGAAAGGTTAGAAGCAAAATAAAACACCATTTTTTTATTATTATTATTTTAATNATATCATAGGTTCCTCATGAGGTTGAGGAATTGCTAGTTGCATTATCCAAAATCGGGCTGGGGTTAACATTGGGGCTCGGGTCGGAGTCCATACGTAAGCCGTGGTCGGCGTTTAGGCAAGGTTCGATGTCCGAAAGTGAGCCATTGGTCATTGGTTGAGTGAGATTCGTAGTTCGAGAGTATGCCAGGGTCATCGGGAAGGGAAGCATCGAGGACCATGGTCAAAAAAATAAAGATGTCAAAAGGGAAACTTATACAACACTCTTCTGCTTTTATTTTGGCAAAAACTTGGTTTTGAGAACTAAACAACACTCACGATGAAAAATACAAAACAAAGCGAATGACAGATAACAGCTGTGACAATATTTTCAGTGTTGCCATGCTAATAATGTGGTGATGAATAAAAATAATCGATATAAAAATCGATTGTATTTTTGATGACTCGAAATAAGGTGTATAATGAGGTGTGTGTGAAATAAGATTTCATTTAGTTATTTAAATATTTTTGGTAGTGTTATTAGAATATTAAAAAGGTTTTATAAATGTCATTGTAATGAATACGTATTTAAAAAAATAATAATTGTCATAGTCGAACAACAATCGATATGAATCGATTCTTACCGATTGGATTCATTTTGGCAACACTGAAATGAGTGATAAAGACAGGAAGTTGTAATTATCACATAAAGTACTATTTAAATTGGATTTTTATAAAGGCAAATTGATACAAAGTTACACTAAGTGAATACTTTAAAAATTAATTAAAAATTTTTGGCAAATTCATATTTTCATTAGCAGCTTGTCCACGCCAGGCCAGAAATGAACATTGTCCTTTATACATGGCATATGATCGTCATCGCGCACGCAGTTTGCACGCGTTGGTTTAGCCGAACCTTCATCATTTCAGCCATAGGACGTCCACTGCTGAACATAGGCCTCCCCCAATGCTTTCCATGTTGATAATAGATTGGTAGCGGCCTGCGTTCAGCGCTTCCCTGCTACCTTTATGATGTCATCTGTCCACCTTGTGGATGGACGTCCCACGCTGTCTTCTTTATCTTTCAAAAGTCTCATACAAGAACTCAGAATAGTTTAGAATTACTTTATTGTTGTAAATGTTTACATAATAATGGTAATAAATTTAAATTGAATTCAAGTTCAGTTGTAAGTTCTCTAAAACAAAGCTCTCGCAAACTAGATTAAAACTTGAATATAGATCAAAATGAATTGGTCATAATATTGATCCCACCAAAAACATTCTGTAAAAAACTAGCCAAGTCTCGTTAGAGCTGCTTATTTATCTCTAAAAAGTAATGAAATCTAGACAAAGTCGTGCCAAGTCTATGATGGTTACTTACTGCGATTTCTTTATTATTATAGTTAATGTTGTGTGACTTGGCCGTTGAAGGGTACAAAATCAGGTGCCATCATGACATCATTGCACCAATCTGTCGCCAGAACCGCTGTCCGCNTTGATGTACTTAAATTTGACTATTCTTACCGTTAGATAATTCCTGGCAATAAGTGGTGACTGAGTTTGTTCCGGCGTTTCTTCTCAGCACTTGCCATATGTTTGTCTCGAAGCGCTGGTAGGGCCCAAAAGATAAGGAGACATGTAAAGTGCCCCATAAGGGCTACCTTTTTCTTTTTTTATTATTTTCTATTGACGTTCATAAGTGCCACTTGTGGTCTAAACTGAATAAATATTTTTGATTTTGATTTTTTTGATTTTGATTATTTTTTCTTCTAATTTCTTTCTTTGTTTTGTATAGCGCTGCAAAAGGCACCCACTGAAAATCAGTGTCTTGGCAGTCACACTGTCAAGATATTACTGAGTGGGTGACCTTTTTTGGCAACTTAGTTATTTTTTTTTTGTGCATGTCTATGTTGCCTGAATTTGTTGTTGCCAAAATAAAGTTATTTTCTTTCTTTCTTTCTTTCTTCTCCACTTGAATCAAATGCAACTAAGTCTTCCTCATTCAACTCTAGGAATAATAAACTAGTTATATCCTCGTCTATTAGTTGTTTATTCATGATTAAACTGAAAAAAAATTAAAATATGATAATGTAATGTACAAACTAATATTATTTAACGGACAAATGCCAATATTCATAAGAAGAAAGAAAGAAAACTTACAAAATAAAGTCACGCCGTATGCCTGGTGGGGTCTGTGGGACCCGCACGCACTTTACGCACGTCTTTTTACGCTCGTAGCTCGCCGCGGACTGGGAAAGTGGGCGGAGGGCATTCGGCGGTTAGTAACGGCCAGCTACTAAAAACGGTGAGGCACAAAATTCAAATTTAAACGAACTACAACGGTTCGCGCGTTGGTGTGGGTCTGACAGACCCTACCAGGCATGCCAAGGGTTAAAACTAATTACCACTTTGAAATCTTTTGCATTTTGACGGTCTCCTAATCCCGTGAAAGTATGAATCGTATCGCAATGAATGAAATGCGGCGCGGGCAGGCGCGTACGTGTGTGCGTGCGTAAGCGAGTGAGCCGTGACCATGGTGTAAGTGTTTTTTCAGACTGTTTCTGGGTGCTTTATTTTGAAATTTTTGTACTGGACGATACAAAAATAAAAGATACGTGTTTTGTCTTTCGCTTCATAGATTATTATATTAAAATTTGGATACTGATACAAAAGTCACCCTGTATAAATACGATTTTGAAGAGGAACATAAAACTATTATTGTATTGCGATCTGGTACCAGGAACACCGCTAGATTATCTCGCGAATTTCTAATCAAGCAGGCGTATGAGAGAGAACTTCCTATAAGTCGCAAGAAACATAAAGATTTAATGGATCTATGTAAAAGTGAGATAATTCCCAAAAAATATCACAATTTTTATGAAAATTTAAAATCTGAAAATGTATCTGAAGGAATCTCGGATGAAAAAGACTGATTTTATAAATCTGGGGGCACGGCAGTGCCCCCGCCAAGTCGAGCGCGAAGCAAACACTGCCGTACCATCCNCGCGGGCAGACGCGTACGTGTGTGCGTGCGTAAGCGAGTGAGCCGTGACCATGGTGTAAGTGTTTTTTCAGACTGTTTCTGGGTGCTTTATTTTGAAATTTTTGTACTGGACGATACAAAAATAAAAAATACGTGTTTTGTCTTTCGCTTCATAGATTATTATATTAAAATTTGGATACTGATACAAAAGTCACCCTGTATAATATTTTTACTATAATTACAACAATAGACCGGGAAGGTTCACAGCTGTTCCAAAAGACAAAACAAAGTAATGAAGAGAGGTATAAACAAACAACAAAATAAAATAATAAAATAATAATAGAACTAGTTATTAATTGCTTATTGTTCATCATAATAGAGATGAAAACAGTAACAATGTAAATAACTTACGTATGTACGTACAACGTATCTTATACGTTTAAATTCATTAAAAGATTTACACACCCAATATTTTTTCAACAGATTTTTCAGGAGAACCCTAAGCAACCCTTTTTGAAAGAAAGAAAGAAAGAAAAAATATTTATTTGGCACTAAAATAGACCGATACAAAAATTAACTGTTCAAAATATAGTCTCTCCCATGACACTTTTATTTCTTTTTATCCCTTGTACCACCATTATATTGAATTTATTATTAAGTACCCGCATAAGACGCCTAATATCAGTACATAGACGGACAGGCTCGTAAAAACTAAACGGATCTAGATAAGGTCGGGTTAGGATTAACTAGGGTTGCCACTCGCTGATCTAAAATTCATTCAAATTTTATAGTCAGTTACCATAATCTGGCATTATTTAATCTGGGCTGAAATCCTTGTCCAGCAGTGGACGTATAAAAACCAGGAGAAAAATATTTTTTGATTTCAATTGACGAAATTATTATATTTCAGTTAGCTTCACTGTAAGTAAATATTGAAAGACGACCGTCTTTTGCGACCGATTTTTATTTTTGATATGTTTTTTAGAGATTTTTCGTAATTTGTAGTGGGCTCACCACAATAGTCGAACGGCGGCGGGGATCAAACCCGCGTTCCCCGGATCACGAGTCGGCCATTCGGCTTATTATTATATTCCCAGATTTTGCCAGCCCTACATCCATTTTAGTATACACTATAGATAGGTCTTAAACGTAAGTTACGCAACATAACGTTGTTTGTTGCTAAAGTTCGCGAGTGTATTACGGCCCTTTTACTTTACCCGATTGTCTGATATTCGAGCCTATTCGAGCCTTTTCGGGATTTGTACGCAAAAACAACTCGGGCGCTGCCGATTTATGTTCATCCTGGAATTCCTGTAAAGGACTCCGATAAAGAACTTTCCGGTGGGAACGTGTCGGGCAGCTGTATTGTAATCAGATACCTTCAACTTGGTGAACCGTTTATTGAAGAACTTTATTGAGAGTACCTACCAATCATATTGTGCGTGAATTTTTGTCTGAAGATTTATAAAGTTACATGATAAATCCGTGAAGGTCAGCATCGGCTTCTTTTCTATTACCTAAGCTAAACGATACACGCTGCGGTCGCAAGCGGATGGATGACCTTACCATACCACTTAAGCCAACACATTAAGGACTTAAATTTTTATCTCGAGGTGGAATTAAAGGCTTGTTAAAAGATGGTATCAGGTAAATAGATACATAAACTAGGCACTAAAAGTAGACACAAAGAAAATTTCTATCTCGAGGTGGAATTAAAGGCTTGTTAAAAGATGATAATATCAGGTTAATAGATACATAAACTAGGCACTAAAAGTAGACACAAAGAAACTGAGTACATTTTCATTCACCCCTCAATAATCCGTGTTGAGATTTATGCAGTTTATTTTGACGGTTGTCAAATCGTTCGTTCGTTTCAGCCAAATGACGACCACTGCTGGACAAAGACCTCCCCCAAGGTTCTCCACAATGAACGGTCCTGCGCTGCCCGCATCTAGGCTCTTCCCGCGACCTTTACCAGATCGTCGGTCCACCTAGTAGGAGGCCTGCCCACGCTATGTCAAATCGTACGAGTATGATAATGTAATTTCAAAAGTTCCATTTCCCCATTTATAGACAGACTATAATTATCCCGATAGATCCTGTCACAGGATGTGTCATTACACCCATCTAAGTAGACGTCACTTACCTCCTTACTGTCACATGCTGTACACCTCTTCCCGGAATAACTCCTGAGGGAAACGCGATCACGTCTTCCCGCGACAAATCCGAATCAACGCGTGGATGCGGATAAAACGGGAAAACATCAAAAT